AAGTGAAATAAGCCAGTCAGAGAAAGATAAATATCACAGAATCTCACTCATTTGTGGACTATAATGAACAACATAAACTGATGAACCAAAACAGATCCAGAGACAGAGAAGCATCAATAAGACCATCAAACCTCAGAGGGAAAGTAGGGGAGGGTGGGGTAAGGGGGAGAGATCAACCAAAGGATTTGTATGCATGCATATAAGCCTAACTAATGGAACAGACACCAGGGGAGTGAGGGCATGGGGGGAGGAGGGGAGGGGGCAATAGGGGGATAAGGACATATATGTAATACCTTAATCAATAACGAAAAAAGGTGGGGGGACTTTGTTAATGATAAACACACTGATGTCAAAAATTTATATGAAGGATTTGAATAAAATGGATCATGAAATAAGCAGGGAAAATCTCTCTAAAGTATTATTTATAATATGTATGTGTAATTAACTATCAATATGAGACATTTGACAATTTTGTTACAGCTCTAGAAGAATAATGTATTCAAGTTGACCAAAAAAAGTTACGCATATTTTTCTTATAAGGAAAATATTTATTTAGGGAAATATATGTAGTAAAGATATTATATATAAACCTGCCTTATGCAAGCTCTTTGCCAAATTCCACCTAAATCCTGCTAGCACATACAACGACCTCTCTCTGAGCTCCGGAACCCTAAGTACATCTGCATCCTTCTCATCCATGCTTCTCAGTCTCACAAGCAACTCAAACTTAAGATATCTATCTAACACCAAACTTTTGAAAGCCTCCCCAACAAAAACAAAGAAACTGAAACAAAATCAAAACCAGGCTCTCTTATCTGAATAAAGAGCTATCCTATCTAGCCAGTGACTCAAGCCAGAAACCCAGGGTTCAGTCTTGACCTTTCTTCTCATTTATTCTTCCAACACCCCATTCATCATCAAATTGTCACATTTATCTCTGAATTCTACTTGCCTATACCTTTACCAGGAACACTGTGCACAAGTCAATTCTGACCCTCGTTTGTACTACTGCATAACTTCCCAAATAGGAAGTGGTGGCTTCCTCAGTCTAACCCAGCCGTGGGCAAACTATGGCCCACGGGCCGGATCCACCCGTTTGAAATGAAAAAAACTAAAAAAAAAAAAAAAAAAAAAAAGACTGTACCCTTTTATGTAATGATGTTTACTTTGAATTTATATTAGTTCACACAAACACTCCATCCATGCTTTTGTTCCGGCCCTCCGGTCCAGTTTAAGAACCCATTGTGGCCCTCGAGTCAAAAAGTTTGCCCACCCCTGGCCGTTTAACCCATTCTTTACAGAGCAGACCAAAGCGCTCTTTTGCAAGATCTCACCAGGTCTCACATGTTTAAAGCAAGAATTTAACCTTTCAGTAATTTCCCATTTCACTTAAAAATTCAAACTCCTAATCAGTTTACTCTGCCCTGTTTAATCTGGTTTCTGCCTACCTCACTGACATCATCTAATTTTTCATACTCTCCAGCTATACCAACCTTCTTTTTCACAAACGGTTTCTAGCCTCACGGCTTTCATTGTGGAATTCCCATCTGCTAGTAATTCCATTGTCCCTCACAACAAGCTGTTCTGTGATACCACCCAGGGGGAGAGGGATGGTCTTACAATTTAACTCGATTCTAATATCTGGAGATAGTATCAGATCCCACAGATTAAGGGCTCAGTCCCACTAGACTGGCCCCACCAGCTTCCATTTCACATGCCAGTCCCAAACCCAGATTACACCTGTGCTTCTGACCAACTGTCTATAAATCAGAGGTTCCCATGACACCCTCCTTGAGTTCCATTAATTTGCTAGAGCAGCTCAAAGAAATACTTATGTTTACCAGTTTATTAAAGAATATTAATGAACATCCAGATAAAGATATACATAGGACAAGGTCTGGGAGGATCAAAAGTGCAAAGTATTTTCTATTATTTCACAGGTCCCCATTCTAGAAGACTGGAAAAACAGTGCTAAGGAGGCCTTCATAAATGAGAAGAGATGACTGAAGATAAGGGGTTTTGAAAGCCAAAACATGAGGAAACTATACAACATAAAAACTTTTGCTCCATGAGATCTCAAACAAAACATGACGAAAATATAAACTGTAAATAAATACTGTATAGTAACCATGTGTTCCCTCCTATAGATTTTAAGCTCTACCAAGAATAGGAATTGTGCTTGTGTTTTTCAGTTATAATCTTAGCACCTAAGCAGCAGTGTAGCATGAAATTAAGAGCATGAGCTTGCCCTGACTGGTTTGGTTCAGTGGATAGAGCGTCAGCCTGCGGACTGAAGGGTCCCAGGTTCGATTCCAAGGGCATGTACCTCGGTTGTGGGCACGTCCCCAGTAGGGGGTGTGTAGAAGGCAGCTGATCGATGTTTCTCTCTCATCGATGTTTCTAACTCTCTATCCCTCTCCCTTCCTCTCTGTAAAAAATCAATAAACTATATTTCAAAAAAAAAAAGCATGGGCTTTAGAGTTAGACAGATCTAAAACGCGTCACAAGCTGTGAGAATGTGGGAGTTTCTCAAACTCACTCTGCCTAGGTTTCCTGATCTGTTAAATGTAGACAGCACTACCTTACAAGTTATTTTTTAAAAAATATGTTTTTATTGATTTCAGAGAAAGGAAGGGAGATGAAGAGAGGGATAGAAACATCAATGATGAGAATCACTGAGCAGCTACCTCCTGCACACCTCCTACTGGGGATCAAGCCCAAAACCTAGGCATGTGCCCTGACAGGGAATCTAACCAGGACCTCCTGGTTCATGGGTCAACACTCAACCATTGAGCCACACCAGCCAGGCCTTACAAGGCTTTTTAAATATTAAATCTAATATCTCAAGTATTTAGTTGAGTGTTTGGTACCAAAAAATGTTAGCTATTATTAATACTTAATACAGTGCTTATCAAAGAAAATATTTGCTGAATAAATACAATATTGACAAGTTATTAAAAACATTATTTATTAATGTTAAGCTCATGTAATTCATTATATTTCCAAATAAAGTTTATAATTCTACAAGGAAGCTTCAGTTTTATTCATGTCCATGGCACTAAAGTTTCTTACAGCCACTATTTAGTTGAATTATAAAGCAGAATGTTCAAAGAGAATGACCTGTGCCTCATTTTCAGGAACAGTTTGTTTATGAAGTTGAATCTGCTCCAAACCAGGGCTTTCGAGAGAATTTGGACAAGTGTTACAAACTGAGGCAGTTACATTATACCTTGCAGACTGATAAAAGCTGTAGTATTCAAGTCTATTTTCCCCTGAGTTTTCTAGTGTCTTTAGTTTTTGTTTAAATTGAACAACTTTGTAGATCAAAAACACGATTAAAATACAAGCTAAGATAAAAAAGGCTAGCAAAATGTCAAAAGCCTCATTTAACCTTTCAACTTCTTGTGTACAAATTAGAGATGTCTTCCCTGACACTGAAGCAGCATCAATTGGTAGGGCGCTGGTTTTTTCCAAAGTCAAGTTAACAGAAGAAGTAAGCTGTAATTGCACAGGTAACACTGCAGTAGTCTCTAGTGGATTAGCAAAGGTATTTTCTTGAAAAACTCTACTGGAAGGTGAAGTTTGTTCCCCGAAAGAAATGCTCTTGGTATTTTCCAAGTGTTTCCCATTTGTGGTTACTTTACGCCAGGCCATCATTAACGCAGTAGTCTTGTGATGAATATGAAGAGATTTTATAGCCCAAGCTCTGGATACATTTGTCGAAGATGTAACGCAATCTGTACAGTCAGTCCACTTAATATAATGCAATGCTCTGCCACGCATGGATGGGGGGGTTCTGACAATAGATGTTTAGGTAATGGCTGAAGATGCTAGCCAGTTAGTTGCGAAGGCCCAATAGTTTGCTGTTACATTTCCAAGGATTAGAATTTGCCTGAAGATGAGTCAATGAAGGCAATGGCTTAAGGACCCTTAGATGTAAGTCTGTAAGATTATTAAATGACAGATTAAGGATCTTCAAATATGCTCCCATGTTCTCAACTGTATCATTATCAATGCTGATTATTCTGCTTCTGTCTAATTTAATTAAGGTAAATTAAATTCTTTAACATCTAAATGTGTCAGACACATTTCCAAATCATTATGACTTAAGAGCAAATGTTTAAGATTGTTAATTCCATTAAACCCATCACTAGTAATGTTTTTAATTCTTGAATTTTTCAGAAGCAAATATCCCAAGTTGACAAGCCCTTTAAATGCAAAGGACTGTATTGCTTTTATGAGACAAGTCTTTTAAGACTCTTAAGTACTTCTAAAGCATCTAATGGTACTTTTGCTAAATTATTACCATCTAGGTACAAACAATCCAAATTTCCAAGATGTTGAAAGCCTGTATCTGATATCCTCAAAAAATGTTATTGTGGATAAATCAATTATCCAAAGAGCAATCATGCCAACAAAGTACCACTCCCGAGGAGAGTAAGGTGATTTCTTTGCAGATTTAAGCACTGAAACTAGATCATTAAATACTCCTCTTGGAACAATGGATATTGATTACACTGTAAACATAAATTACAAAGACTGGAAAGCCCCTCATATATTCTAGGATCCAAATGTTTCATAAAATTATTATTTAAATATAGAAAATAGAGGTGCCTCAAATGAACAAAGGCTTTTGGATATAAACACACAATGCCAGCATTATCCTAATATAATACTACAAGAGAATGAAACCCTGTTAATTCAGTTTTATTTATATGAAATAAGTTATTTCAGCCAGGTACAGAAAAACTGTAATTTCAGAAAAATTCCTGGGAATACTTGAAAGGCCTAAATCATGGCAGTTAGTTTGTCTCCCAGTGCAGAACTGGCAAACAGACACACAAGCAAGTATCTCCTATGGATTAATAATGCAAGATTACAGGTAACAAGAAAAAAGGGTCATAGGCAAGGCAGAAAAAAATGGAATCTGCACATAGCCCTGTTCTTGACTTTTCTGTTCCTATCAGAATGGGCTATAAGAAGAGAAGATAAAACTTTAAATCATAAAAATGTTCTTAAAATGAAAGTTTTATAATACCAAAAATTCTGTATTCTATTTTATTTTTATTTAGTAACAGCCAATAATACTAAGTACACATAAGTTATACTACAATGATAGCATAAAATAATGAGTTTGGAATATGCTCTAGGATTATTAGCACCTCAAGGCCATACATTAACCCACTGTTTGACAAAATGATAACTCAAATTTAATGAACTGCAAAATAAAATGTTTTCTAAGTTCATTTAAAATATTACAATTGACTATAACAAAAGTGACAAATGATGATGCAGGAATAATGGTCTTTGGATATAATATGTCCCTTTATCAACTTAAAAGTCTAATATCAATTAAGTAACATTATAAACTATAAAAACACAAATTCATTATAAAACAATTAAACTCAATTGAAACTACAGTTTTTCACAAACCAAATTATTTTCTGTTTCAGCTAAAAGTTTATATTAAATAAATAGTCTTACCAAGAGCAGGAAATTCACATTATTAACACTCGGCTGATTCAAGTAAAGGTTTTCTTTCTAGATCTGTAGAGAGAAATTTCTAAACTCCATTTCTTTCTGTGGCACCATTGACCTCCACCCTTCCAACTTTTTTCTTTTTCTTTTTTAAAGTCACAGTTTGCTCAGGAAACACCACTCTTCACATTAGTTCCTCCATAGTCAGTGTGTAAAACAGAGGTTGCCATGGATACAGGAAACTGAGAGACAGGAAGTAAGTTTATCTGTTTCAAAAGTATTGTTGAAAGGAAATCTCAGGAACTTATTTTTCAGAATGCAGTTAATTTGAGTTTTCCTAATGCACACAGTTAAATACTGCATAATTTAAAAAAATAAGTATTTTTTAAAAGGAAAAACTTGAAAATTTTAAATTTTCAGAATGAGCAAATACTGTATACATCAACAACAGATAGCTAATGAGTGGAAAAAGCAAGTTCAAATAAGATGTAAATAGAGTAATATAATTTTTGTGAATTTTTAAATGCATAAAATATTTATCTTGTTTTGAATACATATTAGAAATTTCAACTTTGCTTTATTGATTAAAAAACAGGTAGAGCCTGGCCAGCATGGCTGAGTGGTTGAGCATCAACCTATGGTATGAACCAGGAGGTCACGGTTCGATTCCCAGTCAGGGCACGTGCCTGGGTTATGGGCTCAATCCCCCATGTGGGTCGTTCAAGAGGCAGCCAATCAATGATTCTCTCTCACCACTGTTTCTATCTCTCTCTCCCTCTCCCTTCCTCTCTAAAGTCAATAAGAATATTTAGAAAAAAGAAACAGGTAGCAAAATAAACAAGCAATTTAGAATAATGAACACAAATGTTACACTATTCTCTATGTTCTAATTTTTCCAAAGAAAAATTGGGGATACTATAATAAATATTGAATACTACCAATTAGTGCCTTAATACAAAGATGTGGCAAAATGGGTTTACAATTGTAAGTATGCAAAACATAGTTTATTCTTGTATTGTTATTTAGAAATTATTGCATGATTTTCCATATAAACAACCGTAGCCCTACTTTTGCCCCACCCTATATATTAAGAGTGCATGTCGTAACAGTATATAATGATATCAAGTTGCATTCCAAATTACTGACAAAAGTTATCTTTTTTGGGAAGAAAAATTGGGGAGAGTGAAAGAGGCCCTTAAATGACATTTTACTACATACACATCTGAATAAGTTTTGAATCTTTTAAGATAAGTGTGTATATATTTTAATTCTCCCCCAAGGATATTTTTTCAGTGACTTTAGAGAAAGAGGAAGGGTGAGAAAGAATGATGTGAGAGAGAAACATTGATCAGCCACCTCCTGCATGCACCCCCCACAACCCATCAAGAATCCAATCTGCAACCTTTTGGTGAATGAGACAATGCTCCACCCAACTGAGCCATCTGATAAGGGCTATAAATGTAATATTTTAAGGTAAGGATTTAAAAAATTGACTATAAATTTTTTATAATATATATTATCTAGTCATTTTCCAAAAAGCTGATTGCTTTGGTTTTCTAATTCTGACTTTTATTAATCTTACCAATGATTTACAATACACTTAAAATATCAGTGATAAGATGTAATTGTACACTAAAATTCCCCTTTCAATATTAAAGCAACTTTACTTCACATCAAGACAACAATTACTTCAGATAACAATATGAATGATTTCCATATTAAGTACTTTGTATAATACCAAGCACTATCTTTCTATGACAATAAAAAACACACACAGAGGTACATACTGGATAACAGGTCTTTATCAAATGAATGATCTACAATTCTCACAAATATCCTTTGTGACTGGCTATTGTTTTTTAAATGCATAATACAACTTAGATATATGGGGTTCAGGACATGCTACCCCAAAATGTAGCAACATCGAATATTTTAAGCAAAAGAGTTTAAGAAAACAACAGAAACAAAAAGGTCTCTCTGTGACCCTCCAATTCCCAGCTACACCCCCATACCCTCTGCCCTTCACCCCTGAAACAGATTATAAAACCTTCAGTGAGAGATGCCCTCCCTATATTGGGAAGAAAGGAGCATCTTTATCTCCAAAGACAAAAGGACTCTGACCAGAACACAATTTCTTCCATTTCAGTACACTTACCTCATACCCTTTGCCCTTATATCTTTCCACAACTTTGCATCCACTGTGCATCAAGCCCATAAAAACACAGAAGTTTAACAATTTCTCCTGGTCTTCATTTCCTTATTAAGAAGCTAGTGTCATGTAAACAATATTGAATTTGTATGCTTTTGTCCAAAATCTGCACAGGTTAATCAATCCACTAATAGTCAAAAGTCTTTGTGTCAAGTTAAGAGTCCCAAAGGTAAGTAATGGTGCAACGGAACCAGCTAAAAAATGTACCTACCACAATCAGATACCACGTCACAACCACTAACATAGCTATAATAATAAAGAAAAGATACAAGTATTGACAAGGACATAGAGAAATTAGAACCACTATGAAAGACAGTCTGGCAGTTCCTCAAGGGGCAAAACAGAGTTATCATATGACCCAGCAACACCCAAGAGAAAGGAAAACACACATCTACATGAAAACTTATACGCAAATAATAGCAGCATTAATAATAATAGCCAAAAAGTAGAAACAAACAACTCAAATATTCATCATCTGATGAATGATAAACAAAATGTGGTATATCTGTACAAGAAAACATTATTCAGCAATAAAAAGATATAAAATACTGATACATGCTACAAAATGGATGAACCTTAAAAACATGCTGAATTAGAGACCACATACCGTCTGGTTTCATTAGTAGGAAAAGTCTGAAATAGGCACGTCTATAGGGACTCAAAGTAGATTAGTGGTTGCCTAGGGCTAGGGAGAATGAGAGAATAAGGAATATCAAAGAGTACATGGTTTCTTTTGGGGATAATAAAAATGTTCTAAAACTGATTGTGGTGATAGTGGTACAACTCTGTGGATATACTAAAAACTACTGAATTGTACATTTTAAATGAGTAAATTGTATAGTCTGTAAATTACTATATCTCAATAAGGCCGATAACGCACACACGAAGATGTTTCTAAGACATTTAAATGTGAGAGACAAAAAATTAAGAACTAATTTTTACTGTAGAAAAGCTACTAAAATATTAGGTTAAGTATCCTATCTAATAATAGACAAACATGGTAATTAACCGTACCTCTGACCCTTCCCATTGGCTAATCAGGGCGATAAGCAAATTAACTGCCAACCAAGATGGCGGTTAACTGCCAACAAAGGTGGGGGTTAATTTGCACACATAAGCGCAATCATGGGAGGTGAAACGGATCGGAAATCCAGGTGGCAGGCAAGAGCTGGGGGGCAAGCAAAGGGGCCGGCAAAGGTGATCGCCATTAGAAAGCCTGGCAGCAGGCAAGGCAACAACCCCAGGTCTGGGGTGCGGGCTGCCTGCAGCCGGTGATCGCATTGTGGATCAGAGGGAGAGAGAGCCCGGGCACAGGCCAGTTGGCACTCCGGGACTGCCTAGGGCCAGGGGTGCCGGCAGGCCTGCTTCCCCGTGATCGCCATGGCGATCGGAGGGAGAGAGAGCCTGGGTGCAGGCCAGCCGGCACCCCCAGACCCTCCTGCTTCCCCGTGATCGCCATGGCACCCCCAGCACCTCAGCACCTGAGATGCAAAGGTTGGGGATGAAATGACTTTTCCCAACCACATCTGCAAATATCCTGGGGAGGGCATCACTGAGGAGTTCACAACAACTCTCTTACTTGGCAAGGAAGAAAACAGTTGGCAACGGAAACAATCCCTTACATCAAAGTTAAGGGCCCTCTGAGTAAAAAAGAATATTTCCAACGTAAAGGAGGGAGCAGGCAAAAATAATAGGTTCTCATGACTTCCACTAAAGTTTGAGCATATGACAGAGTCAAAACAAACATACTAATTAAAACACACAGTGGAAATTCAAATGACCCGAATCAACTATCACTGTTTGTTCCAATAGCAGCAATGCTTATGTGATAATATAGTTTAACAAACATACAAATCAAATCAT